ACGCGTTGCCAGATGCAAGCACGGTTTACATATATAACTCGTTGAAACATATCCCAGACAGTAGCAAGGAGATGTGGATTCCGGACGAGATAGGAAACGGGGGTCTCACAGCCAAAGTGGGCGCTTGGGGCCTTCTAGCCCAAAAAAGCTTTCGATTTCTCGACAAGCATCTTCAAATGGAGAGGGATAAGCTTGCAATTGGTGGAGCTAGGACGGAAGCATGAGCCTCACTGGCCTCACATCATAGTTGTGGATTTCAAAGCTTGAAACTCTTGTATGTTTGTTTGTGGCTTGATATATTGAATCCAAAAGAGAGATTTCGTGTTATCTTGTTATCTTGACATTAGCGAGATTAGACGTAGTAATCCCCATAGCTGGGTGACCTTGCTAGATTAGCAAAATGCAGGTAGATAGAGACGGTAGGCTTGAGTACAGTTAAACAGCCCTAGAAGCCCAAAAAATAAACCTATAATCAGAAAGAGTAGAATCGCCAAAAAGAACAGAGCAATGAAAGACGCCGTTCACCTGGCGAACTCACAGGTGAACTCAGATATCTGAAAGGCACTCAATTGGGACAGCCTCCAGATTAAGTGTTTTACCATTTATATCCTTGACGATTTCACTAGTTTCGGGAAAAACATCTCCTCTCCGGATTCCTCAATGGCGTTTAAGTATGTAGCGACTAGGCTACTCATACCATGCTCTTTTGCCAGCTGTACCCACTCACGTAAAGGTAGCTGTGAGAAGGCAGGACCGGTGCCGTCCTCTTCTTGCATAAATGCATCCATCGAATCCATCGGCATCTCCAGGTCCCCAGAGTGATGGAGGTACCTGACGGACGAAGATGTAATAGTGCCTTCCGCCGCTCGAACCCTGAAAATTTCCTTCACAATGGCACTAGAAGCATTCGCGGCAGTAACGAAATCGACGTAGCCTTTCCAGAGCTTGGATTGAGGAAAGGACTTTGAAAGTAAAGAGTATTTAAGCACGTTATTCATTATGTCAAGATCACCGGAATCATCACCAAGTATGCTGGACGGTCGATGAATCCACACCGGCAAACCGAATTTGGCGTTTACCTTCTCAAGGAAAACTTCACTGGCCCATTTTGAGGACAGATAGCCATCGTTGAACTGTGGAGGTGGTGGGAATGATGCCAGCGAAACCTCTTCGAATATCTCTGTCGTTGCAAGTCTACCAACCGTTGTCGTGGAAATATAGTGGAACGGAATGCGGCGACTGAGAGCAAGCTTAACGAGTTCTTTAGTAGATTCGACATTCGAGATTCTCAGAGACCGATACGTCTTGAGGAATGAAACGTCAGCACCGTTATGAATGATGGCATCCGCCTCGTTGAAGATTGAATTGGCATTGTCATGGGAAAGGCCGAGGAGCGGTTGATTCAAGTTTCCATTGTGAATAACCACTCTGCCTGATGAACGGAATTCGTCAAGTTTACTATCCGTACGCACGGCAATGCAGTGAATTGTCTCCGCGGAAGTCGATACAAGCAGTTCCTCTAGGATCTCTTTGCCTAGGAATCCCGTTGCGCCGGTGAGAACCAGTACACGAGGGCGGCTATTGGTGATGGCTCCCGAAGGCGCATGTTCCCAGCCTTCTGGAATTGAGGTTTCCGCATCCCAATCAACGGCCAAATCCTTTGCGTCAGGCAAGTTTTGAATTGCTACCGCCATGGCACCAAGGGTGCTATTTTCGAAGAGGCGAATCAATGGCAAGCTGATATCAAAGCGACGGCGAATGCGGTCCTGTACTTTTATCAATAGCATGGAGTTTCCGCCTATATTGAAGAAGTCTGAATTTCTATCAATGTGCGACATCTTGAACAGGTCCTCCGAGAGAACTTCCTGCCAAATCCGAAGAACGTCTGATTCCATCTCACTTAGTTCCGCAATATCATCTGATGGGCAACTTAAATTGGACAGGGGAATGTTTTGTAGAGCACGCCTGTCTACCTTTCCATGCAGATTTAGAGGTATACGATCGATAGGAGCGATAATGGCGGGCTTCATATATTGAGGAAGAGGGAGGGACGACGAGAGGTTTTGAAGAAATTTGCGCTGATCCTCGATACCCGCGGTCGGTGAGAGTACAGCATGGGCTACCAGCACTGTGGGATCTCCACGGTTCGTGACAACGACTTCACTCAATTGTCCCTCAGCCGAACTGAGAATAGTGTTTTCGATATCTTGCAGCTCGATACGAATGCCCCTGAGTTTGATTTGGGTGTCGCCGTCGATGCGACCAAGGATCTCGAGGGCCCCGTTTTCCGCGAATCTTCCCTTATCTCCTGTTCGATACATCTTGGTCCAACCACGGGACGAAAACTCGCTTGAAGGGAGCGGGTTGGAGACGAACTTTTTGCTGGTGAGCGCTTCGTCATTGAGGTAGCCCAGAGCCAAACTGGCACCACTAATACATACTTCCCCTGGCATTCCAACCGGAACCGGTGTCGAATTTTCATCTAAAATAACAATCGAGCTATTCGCCAAGGTATACCCGACCGGCACTGGATGGCTCTCCAGTGCGTCCACCGCAGGTACTTCAAAGTTGCTGGACTCAAATGTTATTTCTGTCGGGCCATATGCGTTCAGTAAGCGTAAGTTTGGCAGGTTAATGCTTCGGAATGCGTTGACCAGCTTCTGGGGATACTGCTCGCCGCACGACATAGCATATCGCCACGACGTTCCGTTGACCAATTCAGACCGACCATAGTTAATCCAGCTCAGGTACTCGGAGGGAGTAGCGCTGGTATATGTAACATTTTCCCTGCGTAGCAGTTGGCAAATGGCGAACGGATCGCCTCGGATTGATTTTGGCGCAACAACCAAGGTCCCAGCATGAGACAGAGCAAGCAATGCCTGATAGATGGACAAGTCAAAGCTTAGAGCGCTTTGTTGAAGGACAACCCCCGGGGCGGAAACTGCGGCAAATTCCATCCGACTCCGCAATCCAGTGTGTGATAAAATGACTCCCTTAGGAGTTCCAGTGGTTCCACTGGTGTAAAAAATCACCGCTGCATCATCTGCATGAGCAATAACCTCTACTGTTTCTTTATCAGATTGTTGAGAGATGGTGGATATGTTGACAACAAGTGTGCCGTCCGTGAGGCCTAATTCGCCTATAATCGTAGAGGTTTCGTTATGTACCAGAACGGCGGATGGCCGGCAATCCGAGAGCATGACGTTCAAGCGAGACGAAGGTATATTCGGATCTAGTGGAACATAAACGCTGCCGATTCTCCAAATGGCGAGCAACGAACACACCCAATCGGTTGTCGGTGCCTGAAAGACGGCCAACCGCGATTTTCGGGTTACCCCAGTGTTGATTATAGCAGCTGCTATCGTATTAACGCGGTCAATCATCTGTTTGTATGTCCAGCGGTTCCCACAGGCATCATCGAGGGCGATAGAGCCCGGTTTCCTGGCTGCAATCTCGTCTATGCGATGTGCCAGCGTCTCTGGCCATTGGCTAACTTGAACCACCCCTACCAAAGGTTATATTCTGATAGGAGGCCTAAATAGGAGAATCGAACATACCTTGGCCAACCGTGAAGCCTTTGGCGATGTCTTCTGCTGTAAATAGAGCCGCGTTTTCCACGGCTGCGGTTGGAGTTTGGGAGAAATAATCCAAAAGACTGCAATAAGCTTTGGCCAGAATCTTAGCATCGCTGGATGAGTACAATTGCTTTTGCACAATGAACATAATCAGGGGGCTCTCCCCGGGATTGTCAAAGATATCCAACGTTATATCATATGCGGTACGCCCGAAGGCATATTCTTCACCATGGCCTTCCAAATCTCCGAGGTATCTATGCTCTTTGACACCCTGTCGATAGTTAATAAACGCCTGGAATAAAGGACTGAACTCGGTAGATCTGGGAGTCTTCAATTCTTCGAGCAGCAAGTCGAATGGTACTCGGGAGTGAGCGATGCCAGAGTATACCTTTCGACGAGTTTCCTTAAGGACATCCGTAAAGACCTTATCGCGACCAAGGCGGAAACATAGTGGAAGTAGGTTCAAGTACATTCCTATGCTCCGTGCTAGCTTCGTCTCGTTACGGTTGGCATCTGCCATTCCAATGCAGAGGTCGCTCTCTTCGGAAAATCTAAACAATAGCACTTGATATACTGCGAGATAGAAGTGAAACACGTTCACTTTATTTTTTCGACACATATTTCTTATCTGAGATGTTAATTCGGTGCCTATTCGGCAATCCTCTCGATGATGTTCGTATACTGCAATGGGAGATCGATGCCTGGTAGATGAAAACGACAACAGGGGAAGAACTGGCACCTTACCCGCGAGCTCTGATTTCCAGTATTCAAGTTCGGTGTTCATTTGACCCGTTTCATACTCTAGCCGTTGCTGCTTAGAGAATTCTGAATATTGAAAGACTGGTTGAACAAGCGGTTTGCGAGTATATGCCAGTTCAAGTTCAGAGAGAAAGACTTCCAGGCTAGCACCATCCATGTTAATATGATGGTAGCTAATAATGATATAGTTGACGGTGGGCGCTGAGCTAAGGAGAAGAACCCTCATAATTTCTCCGTTTCCTATGTCAAAGACATGGTTCCTCATGGATTCAAATTCTTTGGCCACTTGCGCTGCATCCTGTATCGATCTTTTTTCCAAGCGGAGAGTAGACACTTTCAGGATACCTTGCATGGGAACTCCATCGTCTCCGACATAGAAGCGTGTTCGCAGAGCCTCGTGTCTTTCGCCTATTAATTTCACAGCCCTTTCCAAATCGTTAACTAGAAGATAGCCGCGCAATTGAATGGAAAATGTCACGTTAAAGGTGGTTTGATCTTCAAGATAGTGCCTCAGAAACCAGAACCTCGACTGGCCAAACGACATGGGAAGTTGTTTCTGCAGGTCATTTTTCGCGATAGAGTTGGGATATTCGGGAATACGTGCTGCTATATTCGGTGGTACTTTTGGGCCGGGCTCTGGGGGTGGAGATGTGACTGATCCTGGAGAATGGGAGATCAACTGAGGGGTCTGGGTTGGATTATCTGTCAGGACACTGTCGCTAGAAGCGGATATGTCTGTGGGTGTGCCTCTATGTGGTGCCAGCTCTGCAGGCAGTTTGTCCAGCGTAAAGGTAAAGAGGTCAGCAATGGTAGCTCCTCCAAGGATCTTAAGTACGGGCATATCAACTTCCAGCTCTTTTAGAAACCAGGACCTTATCTCAACCGCAACGAGGGAATCGATTCCAAGCTCGTCTGCACTTTGACTTAGCACTTGGTCTTTGGCTGCAGAGTCTTCTAACTGAAGCTGGAGGGCGGCTTGCAGCTTCTCGAAAAAAGCATCTGCTTTGGCGTTAGCTTGAACAGGACTAAACAACGCCAGTCTTGCCTGCGTACCTTTTATTATATGAAGTGCTTCTTCTTGTGATACACATTCACGGAGCCGTACCTTTATCGAGATGATCGTGCTACTCCCTTTTGTCTTCCATTCGTTTAACTTGCCAAGTTTGATGCAGTGCTGAAATCGTGGAATATTCATCCACGGAGCCGGCTCTTCTTCGTTTTTGTTGATAACTCGTAGGCCAGTTACAATCTCTGGGTTGGCGTGGGACTCGGGTTTTCCAGCAAGAATGGCCTCAGCAATACATTGATGAAAGCCACGCTCAGACATCCATCGAAACCCGGCTTTGAAGATTGTAGAGAATACCGACTCGGCAACTTCTCGCGTCACATATCCCACCCCCATAACTGCACCGATGTGTATAACAGATGCTGCAAGGCCTTTTCTGCGGCGCTGGAAAGCTAACGAGGTTCCGAACATGTTAGCAGCACTGTAGTTAGACTGACCGCGGTTTCCTGCCACCGAAGTTAGAGAGGAGAAAAATATGAAGAATTCCAAAGAGTTGTCCTGAAATAACTCGTCCAAATGAATGCTCCCCAAAACCTTGGGCCTCAATACTTTATCCATGGTTTCAAAGGACATATCAAAGAATGCGGTGTCTTCAAGAACCATAGCGCCGTGCATGATGCCGGCAATGGGCGGGAGAACCCGCCTAATCTCAGCAACCAGCATCTCGAGGGCCTTTTTGTCGGTGATATCACTATCTCAGGTCAGACCGTGTTGTTTTCCCAAACAAATCTGCACTTACTTGGAGTAGATGTGTACCGCTACACCCAATGACTCCATCTCTAATATCCATCGAGGATCTACTTTTGGATTACGGCTTGTTATAACAAGGTTCCGAGCGCCGTGGCTGGCCATCCAGTTGCATAACGATTGCCCAAGGTCGCTGCTTAGGCCAAAGAGTACATATGTTTTGTCTGCCGAGAAGCGAATTTGTTTATCGATCGAAGAAATTCTAACTGGAACTTTGGAGAGGTTACTCCAGTTTAGAACTAGGTTTTCGGTTAATACTGGCTGGTTTAAAACATCATTGACATCTTTGATGGCCCTTGAAACTTGTCTATCAGTATCCAATATTGATAGGGACCTTGTTACTGCAAGCCGAAGGTGCTCTGTTGAATTCTGCCCCTTTGATTGAACATTAAGTCCATCATCGGTCAAAGTTGCTTGAAAGCATAGTTTAGGGAGACAGGAAGCGATTAACGACCCGGTCCGATCAGCTGGGCCCGAGCAATTGATAAAAGTACAAACTCCTTGTGGCAGTAATGCCTGAACCGTGCAGCGAGGAGCATGCGGGTGTATCACAATCCACGGGAAACCAGTATCTTGGGCATCTGTTGTTGTGAAAAAGATTGATAGGCGTTTTTCCGTAGCGCGGTCTTGTAATCTGGCTGCTATATCGGGTTTTGGATTGTAAACGAGAACATTGGTATTGGATGCGCAAACAGAGAGCATGTCATCCACTCGAATTTCAGTATCTAGCAAAGACAGGAATCGACCTTCCTTTCCTTTCACGCCGGGGCAATCGATAAAATCGTTAGGGCCCACGAGGATGTGCGAACCGTTCACATTCGGAAAAGATACGACCGTCTGACCGGTTGAAGCGGTGGTCCCAACAATGGCATAGATCGTGGCCGCGACTGGAAATAAAATGGAATGGCTAACTCTCACAAGAATCTCGTTTCCTTTCGGGGTACAATCTCCTTCAGTTAGATGATAGATGCCACCCATTTTATTCAAATAGACTGGAGTATTTTGCACGTCCACGCTGTTCACTATGGTCCGCTTGGACGCATTATATCGGTCATTTTGAGCCTTGTTTGGAATTAGCCGTGGGATAATTTGTTTGCCGCCTTCGTATGCTATTTCCTGTTCCAATGACCACAGAACACGGTCAACCTGCCTGAAATGCAGTCGTAGGAGGGCTTCTGTTAGAATTGAAGCATTTGGCTTTTCGTTTGCCTCAAAGTCTAGAAATTGTAACTGAAGGTCAGGGATCTCCAAGGTCAAGGTGCGTCCAAACCCGACAGTCATATTCATGTACGGCTCTGCAGCTCTGCAGCCTTGGGTAATCCATAAAACTGTTCTTTGATAGTCAAGTAGCGACTTAAGACTGGTCATCGATTCCTCGGTTAGATCTTTAAATATCGGTTTGTCAAGCTCCGTCACGCTAAGGACGAAACTTGTAGGAGACATCAAAGTGGAATCAATATCCGTCAGCGAGCGAAATTGAGTGACCTGAATATCCAGGGGCGAAAGGAGCCGGCAAACTTCCTGGATCAAACGTATAGTCCGCATGGTTCGTCCACCGATAATAATCAAATCCCAATTCCGCAATCCAGGGCTCTGACCTAAGTGAAGTAAAGGCTCTCGGAGGAAGTTGACTTCAATGTCAACCGCTTGGGACACAATAACGGACATTGGCCATGGTAAAGCATCTAGTTCTGGGGACATGGAATCTATGCCAGAGAACCCAGTATTTAGAAGCAGGTGATGCCATTCGGCAACTGAGACACAGGGCGATAGCAAACGCCCTTCGTCGCGACCCAACCACCATCCCGGAAGCCCACTCATGGCGAAACCAACTCTGATAACATCATTGCTTGTTATCTCTAACATCATCAGATAACCTCCAGGTCGCAAAAGCCGGCGCGTATTTTCCAAAGTACGTTCGAGACTGCGCGTAGCATGGAGAACGTTCGAAGCAATGATCAAGTCATACGAATGCTCCACATAACCCTGTTCCGCAGGGTTCTTTTCTAGGTCAAATGCTTTGAAAATCATCCCAGGGGCATAATCGGCGAAAACTCGTTGAGCGGCTTCGAAAAATCCCGTCGAGATATCTGTAAATGTATAAGACGTAAACGACTGGCCAATTAATGGCAAAACGGACTTGGTTGTTGCTCCTGTGCCAGCTCCTACAATTCTCTCAGTTAAATATAAACAGCTTCTTGCCACGTATCTTACCTATCTCAAGTATGTCCATATGAGGATACCGGTGAACAAGACTAGCAACCGTTTTACTAAGGACCTTTGTGGTCTCCCGGAGGCCCAAGGCGTCGGTATAATAGTCATTTAACAAATTATTTGCCATTAGATGTTGGAGAATGTTCGTTTCCCCGCGGATTGCTGACGCTAGATTTTGGCCGGCGGCGCAAGTCAGTCTCATCTCAATACTGTCAGGGTATCTAAAATGTGTAAGCAGAACCATGAAGTGCATGTTTGGGGTGTAAGAGTTGCACCTCACCTGTCCAATATGTGTGAGATGTCTTCCCAAGTATCATCGAGCCATTCTTTCCTGACATATGGCTGTGTCCCTTTTAGAGCTTGTGAGAGAATGCTGTCAAAAAATTCCAGAAGTGCTCGATGATACCATTCGGAATTATCCCAATCCTCAGGCTTAAGTTCAGCCTTTATTTTTTGTACGTAATATACCGAAACTCGTTCAAGACACCAGGCTAGTTCATAGTCTTCTTCCGTTGCTCGGTCACCGTGTGGAACCTCTGGAAGCGCTGGGCCCCAAATGTGCCCTGACAGCATTTGACGATCAAACTGTTCTCCCCCTTCTGAAAAGGAAACGACGGCCACTCCTTCAACTTGTATCATGGTAGATTGTGCGTCATCCGCGAAAATACTAACATCTCCACATATCCCACTACTGGTTAATGGGTTATCTGTTATACGGGAATCGACTGCCAGCGAAATTCCAGAGGCCATGCTCTGCGTACATAGCGGAATATTGACTCGAATGCTTTCAATGCGAGTCGGGACGTAGAGCTGTTCTAGACTCCCATCATCCGGCCAACAGTAAGCTAAAAAGATGGACTGGAACGCAGCGTCTAGGAGTGCCGGATGCACAAGCAGAACCTCGTGGGGTTCTTGTGCCGGCACAGTAACCATTGCGGAACCAAAATTTAACTTCCGTTTCATGCAAGCTAGTGATCGAAAATCACCAGTATATCCATATCCCAAGTTGTCGAGCGAGGTATAAAACTGGTCTGCAACAACAGGAATCATATTGGAGCGCGCAGGATCTCGAGTTGGTAGTAAATCCGGCCCCGAGTTGCCATTGGCCACCAGAATTCGTCCCGTAGCCAAACTCGATAATGTGTCCGCATCACGATTTGTGCATGCATGATAGGTAAACAATGCAGAAAATCCATGACCATTTTCAGAAATGTTGGAGAGAGTAAACAACGTCTCGATTCCAGATTCGTCATCATCAAAAGTTAATGGTCGCCCGATAACAAAATTTGTGATCTCGACAAGATTGGGTGACATATCACCTACAAGGGACCGCGCCGCTTCAATTGCTGTAGAGATGTAAGCCGCAGCTGGAAAGACCATTTGACCTTGAAGTTGATGCCCATGGACCCAGGGCAACTCGCCTACCTTCAGAAGGTTTCGCCAGCGAATTTCTTCCTTGACACCATCAGGTAACCTGGCTCCCAGAAGCGGGTGGGGCGCGTCATTCCGTAAACGATATGCCCGAGATATACGAGTTTCATGCCAGTAAGTGCGGTCATGATCCCAAGTGTACGTTGGCAGCCCTTTCAATAACTGCCGGTGCTTGTTTCCAAAAAGTATATTGTCGTACCGATCAAAATTAACCACGGATGGGGCAATTTGCGACCAAATATACCCAAGCGCGTCCCCAAAAGCAATAATATCATCAGAGCCACGATTGAGAGGGCAAACGTAAGGTATTTCCTGGCCATATATGTCTTGTAGCGTTTGCAGTCCGGGTCCTTTCAAAGCCGGGTGAGGCCCGATTTCAATCGCAAGGTTAAAGGGGCCCTCTTTCTCGGCAGCAGCTTCAATTGATTGACAAAATAGAACGGGGTTAACCATGTTATCTTTCCAATATGTTCCCCGTAGATCCTCGCATGCTTCCATCCTTTTGCCATGGTAGGTACTAGAAAACCAGGAACACCTCTTCGTTGATATTTCAAGCTGAATGTGTGACTTATGCAGGGCTTCGACATAAGGACCCCCACATGGAAACATATGATGTGAGTGATAAGCTGTATCAACTCTCAAAACTCTAGCAAACTTCTTTTCGTCTTCGAAAATGATTTTAGCCTCTTGGATGGCATCGGCATCTCCGGATAAAGTAACGCTGGATGAAGAGTTACAAGCCGCAACGCAGAGTCGATTCTCAAATATATCCGAGTCGCAAAGATCTTTCGCATCGTCATATGATGTTCCGACTGCCATCATTGCACCGGGCCGTCCATTCCCAGCGAGCGATGTATAAAGGCCCCGATAAAACGCTATTATTATGGCGGCACTGCGAGATAGTAGTCCTGCGGCGTAAGCGGCGACTATTTCCCCTGACGAATGGCCGACAACCGCTGTGAATTTGATTCCGGCATTTCGTAGCAAGTCAACTAGAAGTAGCTGAATAGCTACGCAGAGTGGTTGCGATATCAAGGCTTCTCCAAGGCGGGATTTTGGGTTATCAGCTAATAACTCGTCTATAATGTACCAATGTGGACGGTCAGATTCGGGTAGGGCTTGAAGAACTCTATCAAGGCCTTCTATGAAATTTCTCGCGTATTGAGATTGTGTTATTAATCGACACCCCATCGTCGCCCACTGGGCGCCTTGGCCGGTAAATATTCCAAGTATTCGGGGTGAAGCGTTCATTGGTCGAATACCAGCTCCTGTTCCTTGGTCGGAGCTACGTGTTATGGTCTCAAGGTGTGCGTCTATCTTGAAAGCGAGATCACTAACGGTTGCCGCTGCGAAGGCAGTCCTCACAGCAAATTCTGACCTCCTAGAGTGGAGGGTATACGACAGATCGCGGATGTTCAAACTAGGATTAGCCTTTAGATGCGCGGAATAAGCCATCAGCATTCGCCGTAAACTCTGATCGGTGGTAGCAGAGAAGACAAACGGTGTAAATGAGAAAGTATCCTGGCCAGCTCTGGCTAGATGGTCAAAATTCTCCACAATAACATGGGCATTAGTACCACCAAAACCAAAACTGTTGACGCTGGCTCTGCGAGGGCCGGTGACCTTCGGCCAAGGCTTAGCAACCGTAGCTATCTCGAGGTTATGGTAAAATGGCTCAACTGCCGGGCTAAGGGTGTTGAATAGCAGATTGGGCGGAATAACTGCATGCTGCACCGCAAGCGAGGCTTTTAGGAGGCCAGCAATACCTGCAGTGCCCTCAGTGTGGCCAATGACTGTTTTTACGGAGCCGACGTACAGCAGTTCATCGTGATCGGAGCTTTTGCCCTCCGGCCCAAAAAAGGCTTTACTAATAGCTTCCGCTTCCTACGATAATGGTCAGAAAAGCAAATTACGAAAAGGGGTTATGGAGCATACACGAGCATCGCCCGCTGTAGTTCCTGTACCATGGGCTTCAAAATATTGACAGCGCTCTTCTTTGTTATGGGGATCTAGCCCAGCTTTAGCATAGGTTCGAGCAATCAAGTCCATTTGCGCAAGTTCATTCGGCATTGTGATCCCCTTTGTTCGGCCATCCTGATTCACACCCGATTCGCGAATAATGCATTCGATATGGTCACCGTCCTCTATCGCCCGGCTAAGTTTTTTCAAAATGACAGCTGCAACGCCGTCCCCGCGAGCATAACCATCGGCATCGATATCCCACATTCGAGATCGGCTACTTGGCGAAAGCATTTTAAGTTTAGACTCGCCGATATAAAGCTCCGGGCAAATGATGAGATTCGCACCCGCAGCAACAGCAAGGTCCGACTCTCCACTGCGTAGAAGTTGAACGGCTTGGTGCACAGCTACCAAACTAGAAGAGCAGGCGGTATCAATCGTCATGCATGGCCCATGCCAGTTGAAAAAGTAGGAGATACGATTTGAGATGATGCTCCGCGCTGTGCCCGTTGGCAAGTAAGTAGGTGCTGCATTGATGTCACGTTGGAGATGGTCGATATAGTCTTCACACATCAAACCAACGTAAACACCAGTTTGGGAGCCGAAAAGCCCTTCAACTGATAGCCCGGCCGCTTCCAGAGACTCATACACTGTCTCCAATAGCAGGCGCTGCTGCGGATCAATCGAATGAGCTTCAACCGGCTTGATATTGAAAAAGCCTGCATCGAAAGCACGGAAGTCCTCCTGTAGAAAGTACGATTGCTTGACGTTTGAGGTTCCATGGTGCAATCCATTGGGGTGATAGAATCCATTCGCATTGAATCGATCCTTGGGGATGTCGGTGAGGAGGTCATGGGGCTTGCAAAGAAAATCCCAAAACTTCGAAGGAGAGTTCAAAGAACTGGGGAAACGGCAGGCACTTCCGATAACAGCGATGGGGTCTTCTCCCTTCCGCGGAGGGGATATGCTACCCATGTTTTCTGGCGAGACAGTGGGCTGCTCGAGTGCGAACGGGGGAAGCATATGCAGTCCAGTTGAATGGACTCTTGCTTGTGAGCGAAACAGCAGAATTTCAGTAGTTCGATTCACAATCAACTGATGATACCATGCGTAAATAAGTTGGGAAATTAAGACTTTCCAGTTCAGGCACATATTTGACCAAGGATATCGTTCAGCATATAGGGGAAATGTGGAAAACGATGCGTTACAAAATGCCCCGACTCTCTGGTCAGCAGGACTGAGCTTCCGGAAGCTTATCACCCACAGACGCCTCCGAGAAGCCCATGCTCTCGGTATTCGGACCTGACTGAATAGATCCGAGAGCATGTGCAAACAAGGACTGTATAAAGTAGAGATCTACAAGCAAGGGAGGCGTTTTGTGGGATCAATACCGACCCAAAGGAGGGAAAGGTTGCTGGCTATAGCCCCCCATGGCCAATCGCACACACCAGCCATAACCCGGCAATTCCCCTCTGTGCCGGACTCTCATCCTTGGGGTAAAGCCCAGGACGAACACAAAGCAAAAAGTATTCGGACACAGTCATTCTAAGCAGAAAAGAAACAGCAACACTATTCTGTTGGGTTGAAGTGAATGCAGGATTGAAGTTGGATTTACCGCATTGAGATGTATCGGAAGTACTGCTTAATAATCTAAATTTATTAGTCATACTTGACTAATCTGCTTATGTCAGCCACCGCGCGATGCCCAGCAAGAAGCCCTTTCCGCGGTTGAAATAGCCAATTCCATATACAATCCAAATCCGCCATTGAGCAATCCGCTCGGGAAAGACGGTTTGCTCTGAGAACCCATGCCCTTCGTACTGCTGTCCTCCTACCTCCCCGCCAGTAACCCGATTCGTGAACCCGGAAAGCCCCGACTCGCCGCCGAGTCCCATCTCGAATTTCTTCCTCTTATGCTCCACGAGGAACCGCCAGCGTTTGTCTCGGCTGGGAGACACGAATTCGAGCACATGGCCGGTGGACTTGTCGGTCAGACCCCCAGAGACTGGGCCGTTAAAATCGTTCGAGAACAAAAAGTAATCTTTGCTCTGAGATTTCTCCCCATACTGCGTGGCTGCAAGCATCTTCCCGTCTTTGAAGAGCTGGGCTGAATGATAAACGGCCCCTTTGATGAGCCGAGATATCGGCCTCCAGTAAGATATAATGTACGGCCCAGCATTCGCCCGCACAATGTGGAAACCGTCGACAATCTGAAACCAGCTCCCTTCGGCCCACAATCTACCATGTCCACCTACTCCGTTGAGCTGGTATCTCTTTGCCTTTGATAATGTGATATCTGCCACCACTCGGCCTCCTGCAATTGGCTGGTTCATGTGCAGGCACGGAGCCATCTCTGTGTTTGCGGACTTTGAAGGCCAGATGGAGCCGTCGGGAAAATGGGGTTGTGAAGCTGAAGTTATTGACAACGTCCCCTTTCCTGCGGGCGTGTTCCACTTGACAGTTGCGTGCTTCATGTCCTTTGGAACGTGGAAGGAATAGCTGCGTTTTGTGCTGTTCCATATGCCCGTGACAGCGTCCGGACAGTCGATGATTGTGGATTCGTCCAAGTAATCGAGGTCTTGAATGACAGTCCCGTCGCTTAGCACCATGTAGAACTCGACCCGAAGATTTCCAAGTCCAAAGAAGGCATACGATGCATCCCTTGAAAATCCAACTATCATTCCAGCCATACCACTGTCATCAGTCCCGTCGAATTCCCATTGCTCCCATGCTGTGGCGTTTATAGCTGATAGTTTGGGAATCTCCAAATGCTCACTTGGAGACGTGGAGAAAGCGACTGGGCCGTCTACCTTCTCGTAGGCTGTGAGATGGCTTACGGAACATGTTTTTCGCTCATAGCGGGATTCTGGCTGTATCTCGGCTTCCCAGTTCCCAGGAAAGAGTTCGTTTAGCGGTTGTTGTGCTATATGATCTGCTGAAACCGCTTGTAGAACGATCAAAGGTAGCCACGGCAGCATCATGGGAGGTCTCTCTGCTCTGGATAGTTCCGTTCTGATTGTGTGCTGACAGATTTAAGTGTGTTGTATGATTGAGCTTCAGAACGATTGCGAGAGCAATCTTCGACAGCCAAAGCGCATCCAAATGATGGCGTTGGAGATACAGGCGAAAGAAGCAATAGGTCATAGTCAGTCTCTGGTCCGACCCTTATTCGGCTAGCGAACATATAGCTGCACGACCTTCGGACCCCGAGCATACGGACCATTAACTCATCCCATTGTTTCGAATGGTAACCACCGAGCAGCTGAATGTCGTGCATGAGGGACTCCCTCAACTCCCCGCCGATTGAACTACAATCTTAAAATTGATGATAACGCCTTCCATGCATCGGTCAGGCTCAGGTCAATTGTTTTGGACAAACGAGGCGATTTGAACATGGAGCCGCAAACACAGCTACCAACCTCCCAAAGGGCCATCATACAGGCCAAGGAGCCCCCTGGCTCTTTGATGCTGTGCGAAGATCGCGCAATCCCAGACCTCCTACCCAGGCAGGTTCTTGTGAAGACTGCCGCCGTTGCATTGAATCCCTGTGACTGGAAAATGCCAACGAATTTCCCGTGTCCAGGGGCAGGGAATGGCTCAGACTACGCAGGAACCATTGTCGCGATAGGGCCGGGTGTTCCGCCGCGATTCAAAATCGGCGACCGCGTTGCTGGCGCAGTACACGCTTCAAACCCCTTGGACCCTGCATCTGGCGCATTTGCGGAGTACGTCCCAGGATATGTGGATCATATGTGGAAAATCCCCGACAGCCTTTCCATGGAGGAAGCGACGGCTATCGGCTGGTGCGTTGTTGGGAGCGTCGGATTAGCCCTATACCATACGATGAAGGTACCCGGGACTCCCGAGCAACCTGTGGAAAAACCAACCTACGCAATGGTATACGGTGGGAGCACAGCCAGCGGGACAATGGCAATACAGCTTCTCAAATTGTGAGCAATTTTACCTAGATCCGAAGACTTACCAAGAGTTCCGCGGCATTAACATTAGGGTCAAGATCTGGGTTCAGAGTCATCACGACCTGCTCTCCAAAGAACTTTGCGTTGGTCGAATCATATGGTGCAGAGAAAGCGTTCGATTACAACTCATCGACCTGCGCCGAAGACATTCGTACATATACCAAAAACTCCCTTCGGTATGTTATAGATATCATCACGGAAGCAAGGTCAATCAAGCTGTGTTACGCTGCTATCGGTCGCACTGGAGGCCGCTATGTCGGCTTCGAACTCATCCCGGATGAATTGATTGCGAGTCTGAGAAAGGCTGTCAAGGCCGACTGGGTGCTCGGCATCAGGATGACCGGTCTAGAGATTGCCCTTCCGAATGGGTACGGCAGTGCTCCGAATCCCGAGTTACGCGAATGGGGCAGCGGGTTTAGTCAACGCATGCAGGCCCTGATCCATGCTAATAAGATCAGGCCTCATCGACCCAAGATTAATCCGGGCGGGCTTGATGGCATAATTGAAGGAATCGAGAAGATGAGACGTCGGGAGATCTCCGGAGAGAAGATGGTATATGTTATTAACCCTGATATTTCTTAGCCTGTCTGTTAGGCTGACACGATCAGAACGTAATACTTTCAATAATTGATCCTAAATATCACTTGATGACATAGATCGTTTTTTCGCCGCGATTGAGGTGTTGGTTGGAGGCCTCCAGCTGCAAGAAATATTCGCGTGGCCATTCTCTATACGGTGGCTATGGGATGCTTTTCACCCTATTTCTTTCAATCTGCTGTGCGACAATCTCTCGAGATCTCTAAAACCGGTTAATAGGCCATGCCTGTAGCACCATAATTAGTAGTGCACGATACAACCCTACGGCTACCCTTCTTTCTGTCTGTGTTACCACTGATGCTTCGATTGCACTTCCCAAGACTTTTGATGGGCAAGATCCAGTCGTCAATCCGCACTTCTCTTCCCCTGATGGAGTGCGCTCGATCCACGAGTAACCGGAAGAGTTGAGTGAAAGTCGGAGCCTATCCACTTCCTACCGGTCACCTAGCCTGCTATGTGGTTTCGAGCCGGTCCAATATACATCCCAATTAATTCATCATTGGAAATTTTCTTGTATTGCAAGTTCAAACAGCGAAACCCTGTCCATCCAGAGTTACTTGCATAATATCCTGGAGGACCCGTTTCGCCCACTGCAAATCGATAGCTTCCCGCTCCCATTTCGCCATTGTTTGCAAAGTAATTTCAATTTGAGCCTTCCAGTCGACGAGAGGTTCCTCGAACCCCTTTCTAGCAGCGGCCAGAAGCAGAAGGGCGCAGCTTAGAGAGCGCCTCACAACGGACCATATTGCACCATGGCGGTGATGGTGTGAAAATATGGTGATTAATGTAGAGCAGTTTTGCAGACATTTTTGCGCGATGGGGACTGCGTCTACGCGGTGAAGATCATTTGGAGGCTGGTGAAGTATGTAGTATAAGAAAGGCCGTTGGATCCATTCGTGGCACATGTAGTAGCGACCTTTGAGGAAGAAAGCAAATTCGTTGCCTGGAATAGTCGCTTCATCGAATTGCAACTGGTGAGGGATATGCTGGCGCCTATACCTGGTAAGTATGCTCTTGGTAAATGATGGGGACAATATACCAAAGAATTAGTTCATCCAGGAAAGATCTATATTGCGCGAGAAGTAATGAGAAGTTGTTTGAGTTCCACCATGTCTCACGCCTGGAATAAAATTCCTCCAAGATTCTGTTCATGATTCGACGTAGCGATATCTCTGCTAAATAGTATAGCCAGCTCCTCTCCTCTTCGGGGCTCAAAGACGGGTTTTGCGTTAAGAGAGGGTCAAGGCCGGTGATTGTGGAACCACCAGGAGGCATGGATAGCCCAAAAAAGGAATCGGGATATCTAAAATCAGGCATTCCACATTGTGGTAAACGAAGTTCCGCTCGAAGCTCGCTACTCACTGTTAGACGAAAAGGCACTGCAAAGGATCCATTTGATGGACGCACCAATCGTTTTTGGCACAGCACCAATACAATCGCTGCTCAATATAGCTGGTTTGCGCAGGTGCAGCCAACGAGAAATTGGCTCTTCGCCACAAATACGCTTGGTATTGAATGCGAGCATGGTGGAATAAAGGCCATGCGCGCAGCGGTTGAAGAACAGATTTCTCATACAGCCCTGCAAAGCAATAGCACTGTATTGTGAGGATGGATACATCCAGTGTCCCAATGCGTTTTTTTGCAGCGTAGTAATATGCATCAGCATTAGAACGAGAAATCAGCATCTCTACGGGCGCGCTTGTTCCCACACCCGGTGTACAAGGTGCTTGATAAGTCGAAGGAAGGCAGGCTAATGCACATGCGAGGAGCTATAAAAGAGAGCAAGGACGTTGGCTTGTTGACACTGGCGGTATTCAAAATAGGAGACTCACCACAAGGCACGTCCTTTCATCCCAACCAAAGCCATGCTCGGTGATTTGACGCGCATATACCTTGAGTGCAGCTGCATCGATGATGGGATTCCGCTGATATGCCGAATCCAAGAACCTTTGGCAGAGTGGTACCGTGTCCTCTTCGTTGATCCCACGATGGCTGGTCGCGGCAATGGTTGCTTGCGCATCATCCTTTAAGACTCCTCCGGGGACATGAAGTGGCTCCGATGGCCGCGACAGGTTGTAGTTGTCCGATTGAAGAAGAAAGGACTTGATCCCTTGCACTGCAGGGATATCGTCGAAGCTAGACCACCCGAGAATGGACTCGCAAGAAGTAGAAACGGCGGCGGCTTCTGGTATATCTAGTTGCCCAAATCCATTGTCCGCGAAATCACTCCGGTTAGGGGCGCCCGCGTCCTGGAAGGTTGGAGACTCGTTGGCCGCAGGGGCATTGGACGGATGGCGCGAAGACAGCGGATTGCCTACGCTGGGCGCGGCTCTGGGATGAGCGCCCAGGTGGCTTTCGAGCAGTGCGACTGCATGGTTAACCCGTTCTAGGATCTGCCCAGGCGACGGCTCGATGGTTCTCCGTCAAAAGCAGTCAGCATCAAGCTCGTTGAGGTCACTCGAGAACAGTCAATGGCCTACGATTGCTGATGGTGCGCAAGCTGGCTTGTCGGATAGATACAAGTCAGTCCATTCGAGGAGCAGTAGCCACAAGGCCTTGCATTGTCGCACTTTGTCTTACGATTTCGACATGCTTGACAGGCTGTCGTGGCTCTCTTCCGTCGCTTTTTTGCTCTTTTCTCGTCTGTGCTGCGCGATCTGCGCCGTTCAACCGGCCGTGAACCACCGGCCTCTTCGTCAACAGCGTCGTCGAACGGAGCGTGAGCAAAGGTCGAGCCGTTCGAAGCTGCCCCCCAAGGCGACGAACCTGGAGAAGCGAAATCGGCGTGCAACTGGGCTCTACTGCCCATGCCTTCGTTCAAGGAGTTGCAGTTCACACTGCTTGTGATACACGCGCGGGTGGAAACGCGGTAGGGGAGATTCGGCTTTGTCGGCAGCGCAGCGGGAGAGCTTGAGAGACGAAGCTCTATGAACACGAGCGACGCTAAAACGGAACCGCTTTGGAGTCGCTTTTATCGGGGAGATAAAGCCGTTTGAGTTTTGCAGGCAAAATCGATGGAGCAAAACGCGGAGCAGATGATGGATCTTGATACCGGCCACTATCAGAGCTCGACAAGTCTCAACTCTATCCTATCCGAATGGCATTTTCTGCGGGGCCCCAGAATGCATTTTCAGAGACGCGGAGGCTTGTCACTGCGTCGCTATGGTGCTCTGTTGAGCAAAAGAATCAGGATATAAGACGGGCATCCTACCCGGCTCTTTTCAGCTAAAGGCCCAAAGATTCTCCAGTCCCTGAATACTGTTCGCTTCAAGGGAATTCTGCAAGATGGCGTCGTTTCAAGCTCATTTCACGAATATCCGGCTGGCCTTCAATCGCAGGCTTTTCTTGTCATGCTGTCTCATCGCCTTCTCCCAGTTCAATTTCGGATTTGACCAGACTGCCTTTTCAACCACCCAGGCAATGAACGCTTTTGAGCGCAAATTCGGCGTCTACAATCCAGCAAAGAAGAAATGGGCTCTTGAACCGTCTTTCCTGTCCTTGTTGAACGCGCTGCCCTATATTGGCTTCTTTGCTGGTTGGGCCCTACCATCCGCTTTGTCATTTCGAGCCATGCATCTGCTAACTTGCCATCAGGGGTCTTTATCGGAAGTTCAATAAGTTCCCGCTTTGGTCGACGAATGGTCATGTTCACCATGAGCTTACACGCCCTGGTGTCGGTGCCGATTACCGTAACATCCACCAATAAAGCACATATCCTTACTGCTCGCATCCTAAACTGTAAACCCTCTCCAAGCCCGTACCCTTTGGCTGATGGCTGACGCATCACAGATATCTATCTGGGAATGGAGTTGGCAGTGGTTCCAGTTTTTCAGGCTGAAATTGTTCCACCGCAAGTCAGAGGCCTTGTCGTTGCAACGTATCAAGGTTGTATATATGTGAGCCTCCATACGCATTCTCCCCCAAGACTACTCAGTGGATATTAATAGACAAAGGTTGGCGGCCTGGTGATGAGTCTCATCTGTCGAGGCACCAGCACTCTGGAAGGAAACGCCCAGTGGCAAATCCCCCTGGCGCTGTTCGCAGTGATCCCTGCAATTGTGGCTATTCTTATATGGTTTATTCCCGAGGTAAGTTCCTTGTCAATTCGCGAATTTGAGCAGTCCGGTGCTCACTCAAACAGTCCCCTAGGTGGCTTTTGCTCAAGGACCGTCCAGAAGACTCCCTGAATGCCCTACGAGCCCTTCGTGAAGGAAAATTCACCGAGGATGAAATCCTTTCGGAGTTCAACGCATTGAAAGTGCGCCTGGCTCGAGAGTCAGAAAAGGGCAAGTATCTTGAACTGTATCGGGGACCTGATCTTAAGAGAACAATGATCTCCATCGGCATGAACGTCTTCCTCCAGGTTACCGGACAGGTGTTTACGGCTCGCTATGGCACCGTATATATTAAATCACTTGGGACTGTGGACCCCTTTGTTATGACTATCGTGAATCAAGCAGTGAATTTGTTTGCTATTGGTGTCTCCATGGTCCTAGTTGACCACATTGGCCGACGGTGAGTCCCGCCTCCCAGATTCGAGGCAGAATGGTAGTAAATTAATCTGGATTTGTTAGTCCTCTACTGTTTTTCAGCGGCTTTATGCAGGTTGCGACGTGGTTCTGCATGGCAGGTCTGGGGACTCCGCATACTAAGACGCACGCGATGCAAACCGGGCTCGTCGCTCTAATCAGCGTCTACAATTTCGGGTTCTGCACCGGTTGGGCTCCTTTATCACACACTGTAGCCGCTGAATTACCGACTTCGCGGCTTCGAGACATGACATTCCGAACAGCCAACGCTGTCAACATTATTCTGCAGTATGTCTATCAGTATCCTCCATGCCAATAGCTACAACTACAAAGAACTAACATTTTCTATTTCAGGCTAGTGATTACCCTGGTCATCCCTTACCTTATGGACGCGCAATATGCGAATCTAGGCTCCAAAGTCGGATACATCTTTGGCCCGGCCTCGATCCTAGCCATGGTTTTCACGTATTATTGCGTCCCTGAAACCAAAGGCAAGTCACTGGAAGACTTGGATGTTCTCTTTGTCCAAGGCGTCCCTATCAGGGATTTCAAAAGCCCGATGACAGTGGACTATAGCAAGGATGGCTTGGAGGTAGAAACCGTTAAACCTGCTAAGGAGAGCAAGGCTCCCCATGTTGAGATTGTGTAAAGCAACGTTGACCAGACTTGTATCCAGGCCGTGTACATAGCTCCTAATATGTAACTGCAACCCAGCCATACCAAATTTTGCGCTCACCCTTATCTCTTTTCATCCGTAAAACTGCATCACTTTCTTCCTCGCAGTAGTGCTCAAGAAAATGTGCTTAACTAGTCATCCACATAGTTCTAGTCGGCGCTCTTCTTCCACTCTCAAAACTTCTGGATCTTATCGATATCCATTAGTAAATACGGGGTGCTTATTCCGAAATCCCCGATCCTGAACCGTTAGCCTCGACCCCTGCGAGCCCGGTATCGCGGCCTGGAAAAGGACTAGTTAAGAGATCATCCATCGAAGCTTTGGCTAGGCAAGGGGCAGTTCTTACCTGGTAGCCAATCGGTGGAATACGATCAGGAACCATTGAACTAAACTGTCGGACTTATCGGATGCTTGCCGATCCTACAATCTATCGTCCAGTCGCCTCATGATGTGCGATTCAGACACGATATCGGGGTTGGAGTAACGTCTCCGTCAAAGGGATCCGACCTTTAAATATGGCTGGTTTCTTTCCGGGGATGCTGGAGCTCGCCTCGAGCTGTTTTCGTATTCCTATCACATTGTCATCTGGTGGCAGAGCTGACAGCCGATATTTGATTTTGCTGACTTCAAAATGCCTGCCGCGAAAATCACCGGCCGGCCAAACTTCCTCGTGATCGTTGCCGACGACCTGGGATTCTCGGATGTGGGATGCTATGGAGGGGAAATAAAAACACCGCATATCGACAGCATCGCAAAAGGCGGAATGCGATTCACGGACTTCCATGCTGCGTCTGCATGCTCGCCGACTCGCTCGATGCTGCTCAGCGGCACCGATAACCGTAGTGACCCCCCCAATATTCAACCTAAGACGGGAATGTTTCAAAGTGGCTGACATTCCAAACCTGTAGACATTGCAGGTATCGGGGCGATGATTGAAAAGATACAGGAGTTCCAACGTGGCAAGCCCGGCTATGAAGGGTATCTGAATGACAGAGTCGTGGCTCTATCAGAACTCCTTCAGGAGGGAGGATATCACACAATGATGTCTGGAAAGTGGCATTTGGGACTGACCCCTGACCGTTTCCCGTGCACGCGAGGATTCGATCGGTCGTATTCTCTCCTTCCAGTATGTGTAACCGCATTGATATGCTGGAACCGTTTTCACTGACTGCATGACAGGGTGCTGCAAATCACTATGGCTGGGAACCACAACTGCTGGATAAGAACGAGGAGCTGCCCCGGTTACTGAAAGGCACGCAGACCTTCTATGTGGAGGACGATAAGCGTATTGAGCCTCACAACCTGGGAGAGGACTTTTACTCCACCACTGCATTCACCGACAAACTACTTCAATATCTCGATGATAGATCGGATGACCCAGAGCTGAAAGAAAAGCCATTTTTCGCGTACCTGGCGTACTCAGCACCACACTGGCCCCTCCAGGCACCGGAAACAGTTATCGAAGAGTATAAAGGCGTTTACGATGAGGGCCCAGAGAGTCTTCGGCAGAAGCGTTTGATGAATCTTAAGAGGCTCGGTTTGATCCCCAAGGGTGCAGTCGCCCATGATGTGATCGCCGTGGGAGGCCGTAAGATGTCGAAATACTGGAAAGATCTCAGTTCGGAGGACCGCAGATTCTCGTCTCGCTGCATGGAGATATACGCCGCCATGGTCCAATGCATGGATGAGCAGATCGGTCGTGTTTTGGACCGCCTCCGGGAATCTGGTGAAATCGACAACACTTTTATTCTGTTCATGTCCGACAACGGTGCCGAGGGCATGCTGCTGGAATCTATTCCCCTGATCGAAGAAAACATCTTTGATCATATCGACCGGTACTACGACAATTCCATCGAAAATCTAGGAAAATACAACTCATATGCGTGGTACGGACCGCACTGGGCATCGGCTGCCACAGCTCCATCGAGGCTCTACAAGTGTTTCACGAGCGAAGGCGGCATTCGAGTTCCCTTTATCCTCAACTTTCCACCACTGACATATGGAAAGGCGAGCATTGATCACTCCTTTTGTACGGTGATGGATATCGCCCCGACGATCCTGGACCTCGCAGGCGTCAAACACCCCGGCACCACCTACAAATCTAGAACTATAGCCCCCATGCGCGGCGCCTCCTGGCTGCCGTATCTTCAAGGCCGGCATGATCGCATCCACTCTGAAGATCATGTAACAGGATGGGAGCTCTTTGGCCGTCAAGCAGTGCGCAAGGGCGACTGGAAGGCCCTGCTCATTCCCGAACCTTACGGTCCCGGCCGATGGCAGCTTTATCGGCTGAGTGAAGATCCCGGTGAGACCCATGATTTGGGCGCAGATTACCCGCAAAAACTTGCAGAATTGATTTCTGAGTGGGACAATTACGTACTGGAGGTGGGCTTGGTGGGAGACGCAATTCAATATGGCGTCCTAGAAGCCAAATCATCTTGAGAGCGCAGGCCGCGGCATAGCTATATGGTAACCCAATATCCTGTTGGATTGTAAATAAAATATCATGCACCAAGTCAAAGAAAGCCCCTGAGAATGGTCTTGTGCTATATAGACAAAGTGTGACATTGGGCACTGTGCATCATGCATCATGCATTGTTTCATTTTTTGCTATGGCCATCCTGCAGTTTGGATGAGCTTCCCGCGTGGTATTCAAGGGGCCAGCGGACGGGCGGTAACACACATGTAACCTACAAATGTGGAGCCCTTGACCTCCATGTTCAGAAATCTATATTAAACCTAAGAATAGGCCAAAACAGTTTTGCGCATTTGGGGTGAAGTTTCCAAATCTGCCCCTGTAGATGTCAGGACTGGAATACCTCCCGTTGCTGAGGAATTGAGCCTGGATTGAATGTGCCCTCGCAAAAAGAGCTTGAAGTGAGAAGCAAAGACGCTCTCCTTCCAGATGTTATATCGACTAGAGCCGGCAAGACTATTATGTAAATATAGCTGTACGACCGTCCAGGCTCGCCTCCACGTATGTGAATGCGGCTGTTTGCAACTTCGACTAGTAAATCCTTGCGTCTAGTAGGTTGGCTATCGGGCGGGTGCGCAAATGGTACAATTGATCTGGCTTGGGGGCTCATATTCAAACCCCCAGACAGCCCAAAGATAGCTTTTAAGTGTTCAGTTGTACATCGCTGTGCCACTCGTCTCAGTGTATTTGCCCATTTCGTTTATCTATCACCAAACATTCGGCTACACGTGGTCATGTCCCTGGAGCTGCAATGAGACTGCCCTCATAATTTGGCACAAGCTGTAGGTAGCTTCAATTTTTGATATTTTAACGTGAGGATTGAAAAGAAAATAGCATAGGAAAAACAAATCAATGCTTCCTAATCTCACCTGCAACCATGATTTTAGCTCAATTTCAGTTAAAGCTGAACAAGATACCCGCCGGTCCTCAGTTCTACGAGAACTTTCGCGTCAAGAGGACTTCCTCGTTAAGATGGCTTGAACTTCTTCCTCTTCCCAACGCCCCGTAATCTAACATCAAAAAGATACTTTGAATCCTATTCTCAAGTTAGCCTGTCATGTCTGGAAGATTTATATTTCTAGGCCTAGCTTGACAGTATTTGTGGAACATCGTAGCGATGGACCGTATCTGGATAATCAAGTCCAAAGATTGCAGAGAGTCTCGAATAAAAACATGCCGGTTCGTGCATTCTTTGGTATTTCAAGTTCGGCAATCTCTTCAGCAACCAGTAGAGCCTGTGCACATCGTGAGCACATATATATGCTCTTATAATGGAGGGTGACTGTCAGACGCTCGTAAGAGGCTCAGTCTGTCTGAGAGGACACACGAGTAACTGTGTTTGGCCCCAGAAGCATGTACATCGGCAATACCCACCAGAGGGCCATTATCCCAAGGGCTGGTTTAGGTTTGATTTTGCCCACAGGAGCTCTCCAAGTACAGAAATTGTAGAATCAGACGCAGGGGTGCCTGCTACCAGAAGGACCTTTCTAGTCTTGATCGTAGGAAGAGAAGCCGTGTCCCTGCAATCAAGACACGAACTCAGTGCTACCAGCCAGCATTTGTCCGGAAACGGACGGTTAAAAATGGATTGGTGTTGGCGAGGTCAAGCGGGCAAGGCGACCAAACGTCACTGTCTCATCGCGGATGAACTCTTCTGCTTCACTTTATGGGCAAAGGCTGGAGGAATATCATGAGATCCTTTCCCATATTAATAGCGTTGTGAAAAATAAGTGGTTCCACAAGGGTTGTTGCAAGCCCTGCGCAAGCTCTCGGCGCCGTCTCGGTCTTTGGGCCAGTGAACCGCACGTAGTATTGCCGGCAGCACTTGTATGTTGAGCAACACTGAAGATACTGGAAGAACCGAGCAACAAACGATTAACCAAATCATGACGGAGTCTTTCGCTGCCAGCGGGCAGAATTTATGTACTGGCTTTCATAGTGGCTATGTGGTAAGAATCGGGCTGGTTTTAAATATAGGTCGGAGCAGACAGCCAGTGCCCAGTTTTGAGATTGGGTCGATGCTACCAATCGTCTCATGAATAACCATTCTTTTAGAAAAGCCAAAATGGTCTTCCACAGCCAGGCAAGCAGGCGAAGGCGGTCTCCAATCATAAGAATACTGGTTGCCGCCCACTACTCGTCTAACATGGCTGAAAGACCCCAATCTACAGCGCCTGGGGTTGACAGCCCATTGTCGATTGACAGCATATTTGGAAACTATTCATATCAAGTCCAGTCAGTCAGCCACTCAGCCTACCTCTTGCTTATTCCAAGTTTTTCAAATTGGAGGGCCTCCAAGTGACTAGGGACAGGAAGCAGTTGATAATCGGACACCATGTCTAGGAGACTCGATCACACACAAGCTTTGCCTGATGCTTCGAATGTACCAGAACAGCCGAAGCGACTAGCATGTGAAAGATGCAGAGGGCAGAAGCTTCGTTGTATCCGGAATAGAGTCAATCAGCTTTCTTGTAACCGCTGCGAACGAGCAGGAGCAGTTTGCATCACCAAGCCGTCGATGCGAATGGGCAGACCTGGCCGTTCGGATAGTCAACGGAAGGGAAATATTGCGAATCGAAAACGGCGACAAAGTCATAGTGTACCCAGTCAGCAATTTCAAGATTTTGGCCCGGTTTCGGAAAAGAGGAGCAGTAGCGGTACTTGCTATAACTCGCCAGCGCATGACGGCTCGACTGCGGGAATGCAAAATATAACGGGGTCGAGGCCAGCATTCGCCTCGCATCTACTTGCTGCTGATGTGCAGGAGATGCCGGAAAACGACTTCGTTCCCTTTCCCTTTGTGGGAGAAGGCGAGAACAACGATCAGGAGCAAGAACCGATGTCCTGGCTCAGCTACAACGCAGTGGAGATGAACATCCCTCCGTTTGTAGACAAATTTGATTGTTTCAGGCATTCTCTCGGTCCCAGCGGCGATAATAACTTGCCAAACATGATACATGTCGGCCCAGAGTCATCTCCTAGCTCCAACCGTACCTCCGACTCCGGATTTCAAAACATCGTCAGTGACCTCACGCATCTAGACACTGGCACAGTGGCCGAAAACGAAGGGATCAGCAGGAGGGAAACAGATGACTTGTATAATGAATCGGTCGAACGTTTAGCTAGGTTGGATATGGACATCAGGCAACATCTGAAGGTCGACCGGACAGGTAATCAGCCGTCTAATGAGCACAATTCAATGGAGATTTTCCCGCCAGAACCTACACTCCCAATATCCCATGTACTTCGTGGGCTTCAGGAGCTTCAAGATCTGCTTCAAAACCTGATGAATGTCCGGAACGCTCGATCAATATATGGATCAACTTCTAATCATTCAGGACTGAATTTGCGGGGAAACGAAACGTCTGGCCAAAGTCCTGCGGGGAGTACTCATTCATTAGCAACGCTATCAGTATCGTCCTCATCGTCCGGAGATTCACTACTCCCTATTCTGGTCAATACTTCTCGAAGTAGTGGAAGCTCTACATGGCAAACTCGACAGCACCACTTGGACACCCCGACATGTCTTTTAATGCTGGTGTGTTATGTTGACTTGGTTCGGCTTTGTCGAGTTGTTTTCTCGAGTATCTGCTATTACCTTGTTGCATCGAATCACAGAGCAATATCAATCGCCCTTTCAGACATCCAAATCAGCGGTGTCTCGCTTCAGGGAGATCAGAATCTTCAGATTTTAATTTTAGTTCAGGTGGTTGTGCGTATGCTCGATTGCATCGGAGAAATGCTAGGATGTACCGATTGTGGCCAAAGAACGGAAGGAAGGGGGTTACAACCGCTCATCTTGCCAAAATTGACGGGAATTATCATGAGCGAGGAGGAAACGGACAAGCAGGGGGGGCAAGCTGGGGGTATAAAAGCGTTGAGGGAAGATATTCGCAGATTGAAACGAGTTCTTAAGCGCACCTGAGTTTCCGGGAGCTCAAGGTGGGATCGCTCAGGCCGATATACATTTGGTGAGATTATTACCGCGAGAAAAGGACCAATTTTCAATGTGGTTTAATGCATTTTTCTGGGCCTTTTCAAGGAACTCTAGACAATGGTGCTTATCAGGTCATATGACTTCAGGTCCAATCCATTGCTGAAGCACCGGAGCAAGTATCGGAGGAATCATAAAAAAGTCTCTAGACTCCAGCTTCGCATTAAGCAGGCTCGTATCTATTTCCCTTCCTTGGGTCGACCGTTGTTCAAGTTTAGGTGCCATCGAGGATTAGGCCAAGTCCCTGTCTCAGACATGACCGGTGAGGTCCGTAGAAACACTTCCACCACCTAACAGGCGATGGGCAATTAAGGTTAAAGATCACATCAACACCTCTGATGCCGACAGAATTACCGAGTTTGACCTGATGTTGGGAACCGGCAGATACTGCTTCACACCCCGGGCGGATAGGCGCGTTATTCTGAGAGGTGTCCGTAAAGTATGCTTTGTGAATCGTAGTATCTTTCTCCATTGTGTGACCAACATCTGGAATTCCTGACTGACTATCCGTCAATTGGGAAGTGGCAGCAATGCGGGATGAAAGAACCCAACTCCGGCTTCTTGACAGAGGCGAAGCTGTAGCCAGCTCTGATCTTCTTTGCATACTAGCGTAGGATGGTAGTATATAAGCATCAATCACAAAAGAGAGAAATCAGACACCCATGGGCGTCTAAGAGCAGTGGTTGATGATGGAGAGCGTTGGCTGTTGGGATGAGGTCTCGATTACCTAACTAGGCCTCGGCGCTTTGTTGATCCGCCCGGCCTCAGCTTAGTAAGCCCACTCAACTACTTCAACAAAGAAATGCATCCATCGCCATCTTCAAAGACATGACTGCGACTCCAAATAAAAACACCGCACGAAATGAGAGGCTTTTTGTTTCCAAAAGACGACAATGGCTGGTATGATATTTCTTGACATTACTCCGTGTTGGCCATCGCTTCCCTCCAGGCCCAACTGTGGATGATTGACCAGTGTGTCCATGGCTCCCATCCTCGCCCCCACTCCTAGCGTTTCTAGTTACCCCTGAGCGGCTTGAGCCTTGCGGTCCAGCCCCCAGGAACGAGAAATTTACTGATCGTGCCTGGATCCCGCTGGGCCCGGACAATGATCCTGAAACACATCTTCCAAAGGCAGACCATGGTGAGCGAATGGCAGTATTGCGACCATGAACTCACGATGAAACTTCGTCCCTATAAAAGTGTCGAGGTCCCATAATGAGGTGCTACGCAAGACAATGCTTTCGTGTAGGTTGAGAAAAGTCCCTCTCTCGGCCGTGGTTCCCCATTGTTTCACCACCCAACGTCTGTTCCAGATATAACATGATATCCAGCCGATTTGATACCCATCAGCCGAGTACCCACTGCAATACTGCCCATTTTCTCAGAACGATGGCTTCGAATGCGGCCCCAAACTGTCTGCATACCCCCCAAAGTGATCACCATATATTGGAAACCACCGAACAGCGCTACCTTCTCATCTGGTGAGATGGGTGGGCTCTTTATTTCCTCGAAACCCTGCTCTTGGAACCTCCACTACTCTAGAACAGCATTCTGTTCCCCGGCTATTCACCCCAAACAGCTTATGGGCATGGAGGGCATGCGCGACCCCCCGACTTTGGCCGATTGTCAATTGGCTCGATGAGGCTTTGAAACATATCTCTCTCCACAGGGTTGTTTGCCCAGCCATTGAAATGGCCCTTGATAGGATGTCTGATTCCACTGGCACAATAGCCCCATGAATTCCCAAAAATCCTCTCTCCCATGCGTTCGTGCTGTACATTTATACAGCGAAGATTTTACCCTTTATTCGCTTCTTTTCTCATGGTGACTGTCGCTCATTCTGCGCTGACTGGCCTGGACGAGAAAATCCTACTCAACACAGGCTAGAGTTTTGTGATCCGTTTCTTCCTCTTTATTCCTCATGTTTAGTTGAAGAGTCAATCCTTATTTTCACTCGTTTACCTTGCTAAATCGAATCATAAACCATGTATATTAAATATTTACTCTATTTAACTGCAGTGATTACTTCCGCAGCCGCAACCGAGCCAAAATCTGTTTTTGCTCACTTTATCGTGAGTAGTCCCCGGATAAAAAAAATAAAAAAAAGCCTAGTCTCTGAGCTGAAGCTGCAGGTCGGAAATGCCGCGTCAATGACATTAGATGAATGGAAAGCCGATATAAAATTGGCAAAGGAAGCCCACATCGACGGGTTTGCCCTCAACATTGCACCTCAGGATAGTTACACAGACTCTGTACTGCAAAAAGCATACAAAGCTGCGGGGGACACGGGGGGATTTACGCTATTTTTATCATTCGACTATGCTTCCGGAGGGCCCTGGCAGCCTGACCGCGTGATAAGAACGATAAATACATATAGGAACCAACCGGCACAGTTCCAATATAATAATAAACCACTGGTATCAACCTTTGAGGGTGCGAGTAATACCAATGACTGGCCCGCAATCAAAAGGGAAACAGGTTGCTTTTTTGTTCCGTCTTGGACAAGTTTAGGCCCGCAAGGCGTTAGAAATGTCGTCAATACTATTGACGGAGCTTTCAGCTGGGATGCTTGGGCTGTTGGGACAGAGGAAAAGACGCTTGAGGCCGATAAAGCATGGATAGGCGCCATTGGCAGCAAGCCTTATATGATGCCTGTCTCGCCGTGGTTCTACACCAACCTTCCCCAGTGGAATAAAAATTGGCTCTGGCGCGGTGATGACCTGTGGCATGACCGCTGGGAACAAGTCATCGAGTTGCAACCAACGTTTGTTCAAGTAAGCCTAATACTTGGAAATCAAAGCGCTATTTTCACTGACGGTAGCATTAGATCATTACATGGAATGATTTCGGGGAATCTCACTATATCAGTCCGATCCACGAAAACGGCATTCCTCACGGTGCCGAATGGTACGTCCGTGACAATCCTCATGACGGATGGCGAGCTCTCCTCCCCGACTACATCGACAGATATAAGTCGGGCAATTTGACAATGAGACACCCCTCGCAGTCGCCATCGCCAGATAAAAAGGACATTATCTCTTACTGGTACCGCCGCAACCCTGCGAACTCTGGGAGTGCGGGAGGAACCAGAGGCAACAACCCTGCGATGGGCCAGCCGGTTCTGAATCCATCATCGCTCTCGCAAGACAGAGTGTTCCTTTCTGTTTTAGCCAAAGAACCGAGCGACGTCAGCGTTCAGATTGGAAACTCGACGGCAACAAAATTGAAAGCAAGTGTCGCTGGTATAAATCACTTCAGTGTTCCTTTCAATGGCCGAACAGGCCGTGTGACTATCGTGGTTTCGAGACGTGGGACTGAGATTGTCCGCGCAATGGGCCCCGAAATCACCACGGAATGTCATGGTGGAAAAGTAAATTGGAATGCCGTTGCTGGTTCGAGTATGGATAAGAAGGAAAGGACTTGAAAGTGCCAACAATGTCGGCGGTTTTGGATGTAGTTAGCGAGGCGCTGGGACTTCGCTCCTGTTGTTGGGAGATCGAAGCGCCGTGATGTTTTATTGCGCATAACAGTAACAATTGAGACTTTTTAAAAGCTCTACTTACCAGACGGCTTGATATCGCGAATAGAATATATCTTGTGCCTATGTGCATAGTTTGGGGTTTCTCCAGCAACGAGACTGCTGATCCATGGGCGGATTCCACTCCCGCCCGGAACGAACCCTGACACTCACCCCATGAATGACAACACAAGCATCCCTCGACCACGAACTGAACACTTTGAACATCTTCTTTTTCCCCAGCAGACGATCATCACCTCCAAGCACACCGATACCATGACCAAGAAAGTCTTCCCCCGCCAAGTGAGCTTCCGCCAGCGTCGCGCCGAAGCCGAACAATGCCGCCTAGCCGGCAAGCAATCCTCATCCCTTTCCCCAGAAGCATACACACAGCCCTATTGCGATTTCATGACGGAGAACCCAACCATTTTCCACGCTGTCTCCACCTTCTCTCGACGCCTTGATGACCACGGCTTCACCAAGCTCTCCGAGCGCGATGTTTGGACCTCCACCCTCAAGCCCGGCGGGAAGTACTACTGTACCAGGAACGACAGCGCCTTGATCGCGTTTATCATTGGCGAGGACTACAAGAGTGGGAACGGGGTCGGGGTGGTCGCGGGGCATATCGACGCGCTGTGCGCCAAACTCAAGCCTGTTTCCAAGTTGCCCACCAAGGCGGGATTTGTCCAGCTGGGCGTGGCCCCGTATGCGGGTGCACTGAGCTCGACGTGGTGGGATCGTGACTTGGGGATCGGTGGGCGTGTGCTGGTAAGGAATCCGGAGTCTGGCGCTGTGGAGTCGAAGCTGGTGAAGCTGGGCTGGCCGATTGCGCGGGTGCCGACTCTGGCGGTGCACTTTGGAGCTCCGTCACAGGGCCCGTTTAATCCGGAGACGCAAGCGGTTCCTGTGATCGGCTTGGATAACTCCGATATACTGGGAGAGGAGGTAAACACTGTTGATGATGGCAAGATCGAGAATGGAACGTTCGCTGCTACGCAGCCGGAGCGGCTGGTTCGAGCGATTGCGAAAGAGATGGGGATAACCGATTATAGCAGCATCGTGAACTGGGAATTGGAGCTCTTCGACATCCAACCCGCGCAGGTCGGTGGGTTAGATAAGGAATTCATCTTCGCGGGCCGGATCGACGACAAGCTTTGCTGCTACAGCGCCTTCGAGGGCCTCTTGGCGTCATCCGAGGATCGCGGCACCGGAATCGTTAAGATGGTGGGCATGTTTGACGACGAGGAGATTGGCAGCTTGCTCAGACAGGGCGCTCGATCAAACTACATGAGCAGCGTCATCGAGCGGATTGTCGAGGCGTTTTCCTCCGACTATGGACCAAATGTTCTCTCCCAAACCGTCGCGAATAGCTTCCTGGTTTCGTCCGATGTCATCCACGCCGTGAACCCGAACTTCCTGGGCCAGTACCTGGAGAACCACGCTCCCCGTCTTAACATTGGTGTTTCAGTCTCTGCGGATCCCAACGGGCATATGACCACGGACAGCATCAGCACCGCGCTGCTCCAACGGGTCGCAGAGAAGTGCGGGTCCAGGCTTCAAGTCTTCCAGATCAGAAACGACAGCCGCAGCGGTGGCACCATTGGTCCCATGACAAGCGCCCGCATCGGGATGAGGGCGATTGACTGCGGGATCCCGCAGCTGAGCATGCATAGTATCAGGGCTACCACGGGTAGTTTGGACCCCGGACTTGGCGTGAAGCTCTTCAAGGGCTTCTTCGACCATTTTGAGGAAGTCGACAAGGAGTTTGAACAGTTCTAGATCCACGCGATTACGACCGGACACTCTTCCTTTTGACGTTTTCCAGGAAGATCTTCTTTTTCGGTTTCTTATATAGATCTCGCTTCGGAACACAGATAATTACACATTGACGCTTGCTATAGACTACCATGTCACCTTAATGGATAGCTAGTAATACATCTAGGCTTAATGGGGGAACTTCGCCTTATGACAGTGTTACAATGCGGCTTGATGTTTTACACAACGGAGAACCCATATGTAACTAACAATGTAGGAAACAGAACTTACGGAGCAGTATCTTTTAAGTGAGTAAGGCTTGAAGTATTATAGGAAGAACAAGTGGGACAGTGTGTTTGCTGTTCCGACGATAAGCCCACTTTTCAAGCTGAATTCAATGAGGAATTGAAGGTATCAACGGATAATACAAGAATGCTAGCCTGAAAGCTCTTATGCCGTTGGTTCGTGAGGCACAGTGTGCCACTAGCGATGCGGTCGAGTCTCGCCGATTTACAAACCAGGACAGCAGAAAAGGGTGGTATTATACATATATCAAACAGAAGTAGATAGAAAAGACATTACAATCCATATAAGGCTATACCCCGAGCTCGCTAGTTGCTCAAATTACTGCCTCCAGCAATCTTCCCAGGGAGGATTTTCAAATCACTCCTAAGGGCCCTGGGAGTGCACCGGGTTTTCGTTAGATCTCCGTCGCCTTGAGTCGAAACGCTGCCGACAACGGCATCTGGGCCAGGACGGGGAACGTGGCCAATCTTCCACGCAAATACATCTCGAGATGACCGGCCGCCATATCACACAATGCAACCATCGCGCAAGTTTGAGGTCGTTTAGATCAGAGCAACAACACCAACTGCGATCCCAGCAACTGCAGCCAGGGAGCTATCCAAAAAGTGGCCCGCATTGGGCGTGGATTCCGCCGGGGGAGCCGTAGTACCACTGCCGCTCGAAATCGGCGCCGTGGCGCTGGGCTCAGCAGAGCCCGATTCCCCAGTCGAGAGCGCCGCAGGCGTCGTGACAGAAGGGGGAACAGCGGAGCTTTCTCTCGTACCGGTGACGATCGCGGTCGTGGGCTCTGCATGCGCCGTGGTTTCAGCAGGGCTGGCGCTGGCGCTCATGCTGACGATCGTCGAGGACGCGCCCGAGGGCGTGAAGCAGGAGAGGTAGGAAGCCGAGGTGGCGCGGGTTTCGGTGCCTGTGTAGGCAGGGCATCCGGGGACGTTCTTCCTCTGGGGAGCGCGGCCGCCGCCGCAGTCGAGGGGATCGCAGATCTGGCCGGTGTCGACGTCGTACCAGTGAACGATGTTGTCGTCGCAGGTGGTGAAGCTGCGGTTGTGACAGTCGACGGCGAGAACAGTGCTTGCCAGCATCAGCACGGGGATGGTGGACTCGAGCAGTTTCATTTTGGCGGCTGGTGGTGGTGGATATTCAGATTATGGTCAGCAGCCAGCGATGATATTATTTTTTATTCTCAGGCTGGCGAACGGAAGAGCTGAGGGCTGTCTTCTATATATAACTGCCCCATCTGAGCCAGAGTTAACGTTACAACAATTAAGGGGCACTTCTAAAGGCGAAATTGCAGAGTTGCACTTTTGAAGGATCCAGACCACTCAAAATCGAGCCTGGATGTTAGTTGCAAGCAGCAGATGTTGGGTTGGTGGTCAGGGGGTGCCAAGGGGTTATCTCTGTTGTAGATAAACAAACAGAGAATCAGATAGTTATAGAGAATCCGACAGTTAAGAGCCCCAAGACTTGATGTTTTTCTCGTTCAACTTTCTCTGGATTCCCTGCATCAGGTCGGTTTTATCGGCTTGTCAAACAACCCAAAATTGGCTGAGCTTTGAGCGTTGAATCAAATCCTACAAACCCTACATGATGTCGGTAGAAGGAGACTGCAATGATGATTCTGGATGGCCAGGTGAGGAATGGGCAGAGGGCTATCAAGCGTCCTCGGTAAAAAAACCGCTGCAAATAGTTAAACATGGGACTACCGAGTAGAGAGTTTCTTACTCTATAAGACTATCATAACAATGAATAATCATGACAATCATGATAATCATAGCTCAGGCTTCTAGACAAGGAAAGCTAATCAAGCAATGGAGGCAAGGAATTATCTTGATCGCCTTTAAACACCCACCCTTGCCAGCAAATCTTCCGCTGGTGACTTGCTGCATGTTTTAGCATCTCCAGCCGCCATCGCTGGTTCATCTCGCATGCGTGTTCAAAATTGTCTGGATCTGTACCGCCTTCCCGATCGACTCCAAGCGAATCCTGCACTGTCGAGAGGATCTCGGCGCACTCTCTCCACTCAGATGCATCTTGAAGTGCCTTCTCCTCGTCAGCAGGAGAAAACGATACGGGACAGGGCTCAGACGAAATCGAATCCCATATTTTCACGATGCCAACAAGTGCGGCCTTGAAATTGACCAAATCGGCATCCCAGGGATATCCAGCCTGTGAAATAAGATATTGCCGCATCCCGAGGCCCGGTTGGCGCAGGGCCAATAGATGCAAGCTGTTTTGCGCCCCAGTTGCGACAGTGTAGAAGAAATTTGCCTTCTCCAATTGGAATTTAGCATCAGCCTGCAACTTGTCAAACTCATTCATTTCAGCATAGTTATCGGGAAGTTTTGGCTTCTGCAGAGTTTGCACTTGGGATAATTCATGCTCACAAAATGCTGGGTACCCTGCTTGCATGAATAGCGGAAGAATTGCAGCATCCTGCCAGTCAATTATGGACAGGATTTTATTTGACCCTGGGGCAAGCACAATGTTGGGGAAACTTAGATCGGGGTGCCTCAAAACTGGTGTTTGCATTTCCGATTTGGAGGGCACCAGAGGTCTGGCTATCAACAGATATTGTGATAAAAGCGAGGTGTGTTCCTTTGGATCAATGTCCTCCTCGGTGGGAAGAAGGAATGTGCGTCGAGGTCGCGGTTTTGCATATGCTGACGTCCAGACGAGTTCCCGGCGAGCAGGAGCAGCAATGCAATCCTCAGGCTTAGTCCCTACAATATTATCCGAGACACACTAGTTTAATCTCTTGTCACAACGGCTTGGGAAGCGTACATACATGGCCCACGGTCCAGCGGTAGGTCTGCGCGGTCATCATGCCAGAATTGACGTTTGCAGACAGGGCCGACACAAAAGTTACCCTTGTCAGTCGAAATATTCACCCTAGATTTCTCCGGTGTGTCATGTTGATAATAAAGACTGCCGTACGCGGGAAATCTGAAGGAAAAGAGTTTCCGTTCAATCTCGACAATCTGGCTCATCAAGTCCGCAAGTTGGGGAGTTGGCAGTGAAAGCCATCGAGCCCCGAGCTGATCACCTCGAAGCCGCTCCATAAGGATGTACTCGGCACCAATAGGGTTATCGACCGTGGCACAATAACCAAGGACTCGAGGTACTGGTATGTCCAATACACTTCTAAGAAAGTCCATAGTGGCAACTTCGCTCGCAGTTGTCAGGTGTTGGGGGCCGGCGATTGGAGTTGGTAGACGTGCAACGACTTCGCTGCCGTCATCCATCGTCAGGAGGAAGACTTTATTGAAGCCGCCTTCTGCCATTTTGATAATCCGAGTGCATTGAGGCCTTTTGACAGCCTCAGCTGCAACCCTTTGTAATTCTTGAATATTGAATCGAATATAACGTTCACGCAGTCGGATATTTTCGTTACAGCTAGCAGTTGTGAGCCACAGACCTTCTTCAGTGGGAAATAAAAGGGACAGCTTACACCCAACGCTGGGACGTATTGCGAAAAAACATTTCTGGGTCAGGAGGCAACCCAGTGGGAGTAGTTGCTGTAGATATCTTCATAGTGAATTGGCTCACTTTGGAGAAACAAGGGACTGTTGAGAGGTAAGCCTTTGGTCGACTGAATGCAATGATGAATGGTCTCATGGTGCCATGCAATCCAAGATGATAGATTCTTGTTTTGCAATCTAGTGCCTTGTAGCAAAATACATTGTCTTGAATGTTTCTGATCTGTCCATTTTGACAGCAGGTGTTGTGAACTCCAAAGATAGATTAACCAATGTGGCTGGGCACAAGTTATCTGCCTTCACACATGATATATGCACACGATGTTTTCATGAAAATATGACTTCGATTTGAGTGAGTGTTTCCTCGTGTTATTTTAATGGAATCCCAGACGCGTTGGAATTTTGTCATAATCATTAGAGCAACCCAGACTCCAAAGCCGAAAATTGGCATGATACCCAAGTGTTTGTCTTTCTACCAATGGAACCCAAGATATGGTCTTTTCAAGACCTTGCAAGTCTGCCTCGAGTCGCCAGAGGACTTTCCGGCGTCGTTTCCGAATACAAATCCCACGAAGTCGTTAAATGGCCCTATCCATTCGCCGATGGCGAACGCAACCACGAAATCGAAAGGCGCATATATACGCGACTAGGCCGACATGCCCGAATTGTCCACGTTATTGCGATTTTGCCGGAACGAGGCATTGTGATGGAACGATTGAAAGAGCCTCTCTGCCTGCGCCTGAAAACTCTTCGAGAAAATGGAAACGCTGTTTCATCAGAGCAGATTCAGAAATGGTCTTTACAGATTGCGGAGGGTTTACATTACATCCACAGTAAAGGAGTCCTCCAGGCTGATATTGGGTCTCAAAATTTACTCTTGGATGAGAAGGACAATCTGAAGTTTGCAGATTTTGCAGGTTCCTCAATTGATGGAGAGCAGGCGTTTGTCTGTTCAAGCTCACGCGCTTCACTTCGTCCTTTCTGGGAGCATCATCCTTCCATTAAGGATGAGATATTTGCCATGGGTTCCATACTCTATGAGATATCTACAGGTCGGAAGCCATATCATGACAAAACAGATAGTGCTGTTGAGGAGCTTTACCTGGCAGCGCAATTTCCCGATACCGACCACCTTCGACTGGGCCCAGTGATTTGGAAGTGCTGCCATACCGGAAAAATGGATTTTTTGAATACCGTCGGATTACCTTTCATCCGATCCGATACGTAGATTCCATGCCAAGAATGTAGAACCCATGTAGAAGCTCATGAGATCAATGTTTGGATTGGAAATCCATAGGAAGGGTCACCTACATAACTACTTGATTATTATACATGAGTTTGGAATCCCAATTGGGAAGGAAGAATGGTCTCATTTGTAAAAACTATTTAAAAAAAACACCCACCCACCCACCCACCTCTTAGGAAAAACAGAATAACAACAGGCACCCACCCACCCACCCACCTCG